GAGGCCGCAATACAGAGTAGTCCAGGCTGCTCTTCCCCACCCAACATCTGGGGGAACAGGCAGTGCAGAGTAGCCCAGGCTGCTCTTCCCCACCCAACATCTGGGGGAACAGGCAATGCAGAGTAGCCCAGGCTGCTCTTCCCCACCTAACATCTGGGGGAACAGGCAGTGCAGAGTAGCCCAGGCTGCTCTTCTCCACCCAACATCTGGGGGAGCAAGCAAGGAGAAAGCAGTTAGGGCTCTATTCTTTTTTAGTATCATGTTAAACTGGCCACAAAGCCAGGGATGGTGTGACTGAATTATAAGAAGGCTGGGCATTAAATAAAAATCCAAGATAAGGGGTGGGAGAGGTTGGCTCAAGTTGGCTCTATTCTAATAGGAGGCAATATGGGTTGAAGAAACAGTAGAAGAGATAACATCTCTTTTGCTAACAATTCACCTCACTTAATAATGGAGATGGACTCGTTGTGTGTGCATGTGTGTGGACATGTGTGCACGTAAAAATGTGTGCACTCTGTGTAGTAATTCTCTGCAAGGCAACTTTCCCTGGAAAACGGAACAACTCCCCCTGAAGGGGATTTCCCGATTCCTTAACTGTCAGTGGTCCCCCACCAGCGTGGCCGGGTGGAATTTCTCAATGCCGTTTCTTAGTTTCTTGCTTGTGGCTCTTCTGTGTGTCCTTGCCTTCTTCTCTTGTTCACGGTCATCAGTCAAGCAGGCTGACCCTGTCATCTGATGAGGATGTTAAATCCTAGCCATTCTGGATCTGTGAGGATTGTGTTAGGCAGCAGTGACAGACTCCCTGTCAACCGAAGGATGTCAGAAGAACCAAGCAGCACCTGCCCTTCAAGGCCCAGTCTCCCGAGCTGGCACTGCGCCTTTGTCTTTCTTGAGGCTCATCCCAGGGGTGTGTCAGTGAGTGTTCACCAGCCAGTTCCCGGGGAGGGGCAGGAGGCAGAGAAGCTCTGATTGGCTTACTGATTTCCATCCCATAAACATTCCTGTCGTGGCTGATTTGGGGTAAGATGGTGTCAGGAGACCCAGAGCTGAGAGGGCATTGGCTTCAGTCCTCTGTGTTTATTATTTCTCTGCTCCTGGGCTCCTGGGCTAGAACACCCCAACTGCAATCAGCTTAGGAGAGGAAGGCTTTGTGTTGACTGATAGTTCTGGGGGGAGGCAGTCAGTCACGGTGGGGAAGATGCGGCCACAGCAGCATTAGGTTGGCCTGGCTGTCAGGAAGCAGAGAGAGGACAGGAAATGTGGCCAAGTCATAAAACCTCAAGGTGTATCCTAATGACCTATCTCCTCCCAAAATAGCGTCACCAACTGGGGACCACGTGTTCAGACATGTGTGCCTGTGGACATTTCTCTTCAAACTGCAATGCTCCCTCCCTAGCATATGCTACACAAATGTTTTAATCACCAGTAACCATGAGAAACTAGATAAGAATCAAAGTCTAAAGGCATCAAGAGGAGTGGGGGTGGGGAGGTGGGGTAAGTACACTTGCTGGGCAATCCTGAGCATCCGTGGAAAAAAACTAAAAGTGGCTGCATGCCCAAGTAGAGGCAGGGGGATTGCTAGAGGGGTGTCACTGACAACCAGCCCAGCTCTAGCTTCAGTGAGAGACCTTGTCTCAGGGAATAGGTAGAAAGTGCCAGAGCAAAACATCCAATGTCCTCCCTTGCCATTTATGTTTGTGCATGGACACACATGCACATATACACATATGCACACACACGTACACACAATAGTCATGCACACACGTGCACACACACACGAACACACACAACACACACACATGCACACACACACGAACACACACAACATGCACACACATTCACACAACACTCACACACTCACAAACACACACACATGTACATACAATCTCATACACATATGCACTCACACATATGTGCACACATGTGCACACACACGGGATGGCTCTTCGGTACTTATTTGTGTTTTAATATTTATTTAATTATAAATTTAAGTAATAGCTGTGTTTAATAAGCAACTTGCACATTTCCTGAAAATTTAATGATGGGTTCTAGGTGCAAGTGGGTTCAGCCATGCTTGTCAGCCCCCTGAGCCTGGGTCACCCTGGTTTTGGCAGGGATCTTGGACTCACACAGATCCAAGCACCCACAGACATCTATGGCACTACCAGCTGCTACTAGGAAATGCACAGTTGATTGTGGGGACCTCACTTGGTCCTCTTCCAGGGGTCTCTCAGTTGCATCTGCTGCTAAGAACAGGCATGGTCGGGCTCAGCAATCGAGCATGCAGCTGCCCTTGCAGAGGACCTGAGTTTGGTTCCTAACACCCAAATCACAAATGTCTGTAACTCCAGCTCATGGGATCTGATTGCCTTCTTCTGGCTTCTGAAGGCCCTGGACTCACAAGAACAAATGCACATGTGCACATAATTGAAAATAAAAATAAAATCTTAAAAAGTGGACATGGATATAATCAATTGATAAACACAGGATCAATCAATTCTGTGTTTGGGTGTTTTGTGGCCCAGCATCCTGTTGGACCCAACATCCTGTAAAGCCTGGGATATCTTCCACGTGGCACCATGGAGGAACTTAGAGCAAGGATCTTTTGGGATATTCCTCCTCAACCACAAAATCCTCATTTTTTCCCCTGCTACAGCTTCTGCCAGCAAGTCTTGGCTTCTGTATCTTACCTCTCACTGCTCTCCAGAGCCTCATGGTTCCCAAGGCACCAGCCACGAAAGCCGTCATAACATGGCTTTGGACACGGCCAATATGTCTCAACCGTGGATTCAGAGAGTCGAGTTCACAGGCCACCTGTTGGTTGGTCCCGAGCTGGGGACATCACCTGCAGAACTGCAGCACCAATCGTGATGCTACTGAACTGTGGGGCTGCCTTCACAGAGCGCCAGGGGCTGTGTGTGCTGTTTTCCCACAGCTGTGGAGGCTGAAGTCCAAGAACACGGCATGGGCAGGCTGGGTTTGTCCTGGAAAAACTCTTCCTGGTTTGCGGGACGACCACCTGCTTGTTTTGTCCTTATGTGGTTCTGTGCATGAATTTCTGACGTTTCCCGTCTTCTCTTAAGAGCACAGACCGGATAAGGACACTCTTGACCTCATTTAACCTCAATTCCCTCTTTAGTGGCCCCTGTTTCAAATAAAGTCACACAGGACTTCAATGCCAGAACTTTCTTTCCAGGGTAAAGGTGAGAGGAGTAATTCATTCCCAGGGAAGACAGACACTGAAACCTGGCTGGTGCACATTAGTGCCGTGTGCTTCAGCTGGGAGCCACACAATGGCCTTCTAGTTGTTCATTGTTCTTCATTTCTCCACCTTCATCTTGTAGAATGTAGTTTGCTCTTTGCGGCTGTAACAAAACACTAACCGAAAGAAACTTGGGGGAGGAAAGGGGTTATCTGGCTCATAGCCCCAGGCTATCGCCATTGTTTTGGGAAAGTCGAGGCAGGGACTTGAAGCGGCTGGTCACTTGCCATCCACAGTCATAGGCAGACAGAAATGAATGCACGCATGCTTACAGTTCATCTTACTCTTTCCTTGCCGTTTAGTCCAGGGCCCAGACCATGGAGTAATGCTACACACAGTCAAGGTGATCTCATCTCAATTAACTCAAGAAAAACCCCGCACAGGCATGGTCACGGGCTGACCCACACAGGCACGGTCACGAGCTGACCCACACAGGCATGGTCATGAGCTGACCTACTCTAGACAGATGAGACACTCTTGAGATCCTCTTTCCGGGTGATTCCACACTGAGTTAGCAGACAATCAAAGCAAAACATCACACTAACTTAGCTATGTCTCTAGCCCTAAATGCTATTTTTTTTTAATTGAATACAATTTGAGTGATAGTATTTTGGGTTAAGTAAAACATTACTGGAATTGCTTCCATATGTTCCTTTTCTAGTGTGGATAGTCACAAACTTAAAGATTACATCATGGCATGGCCCCTGGAGAGCAGGCAGGGCCACCCCTCAGATGGAGAGGGAATGTTGCTCTTGGAGTCCTTTCTTGTCCCCCTGCTTAGCTCCATTACCTATTTGCCACCCCCTCCCTTCCATCCTGCACCTGGGCTCAGCATCAGTTCACACTGCAGGGCAGAGGCAGGGAACCTTCCAGGTGATGAGGGGTGGAGAAAGGTGACTGTGCACTCCTCGTGGTCCAGCTTGGAGGGGCGGTATCTGAGAACACCACCTTGTGCTCACATGTGAGTGTCTAGAACACCACCCTGTGCTCACATGTGAGTGTCTAGAACACCACCCTGTGCTCACACGTGAGTGTCTAGAACACCACCCTGTGCTCACACGTGAGTGTCTAGAACACCACCCTGTGCTAACATGTGAGTGTCTAGAACACCACCCTGTGCTATACCATGAGTGTCTAGAACACCACCCTGTGCTACACCGTGAGTGTCTAGAACACCACCCTGTGCTCACACGTGAGTGTCTAGAACACCACCCTGTGCTACACCGTGAGTGTCTAGAACACTACCCTGTGCTAACATGTGAGTGTATAGAACACCACCCTGTGCTACACGTGTGTCTAGAACACCACCCTGTGCTACACCGTGTTTTATGCCAAAGCAAATGGATGAAAGATGTTACCACCTCTCACTCCACCCTGAGTTGTTAAACCCAAAGACCTATTTCACTCTCCTGCCAGTTCTCTGAAAAGAGCTAAAAGGAGGAGAGAGGAAAAGGTTTATCTAGGGGCCAAGAAGATGGCTCAGTTGTTAGAGAGCTTGCCACCAAGTGTGAGGACCCCAGAAACCCACATAAATGCCAGTTGGACTTGATGGGGGCCTCTAATTCTCCCTGAGATGTAAAACCAAAACAGATCCCTGTCTCTGATCTTTCCAAGGTCACATCCTTGTAAGTATTCCAGCAGATGTCTAGGGAAAGGCTTATCCCCCCACCCTGGCCCGTCCCCAGCCCTACTGTAGGGTCCGTTGGCGCACAAGTCATTCCTTACAGGGCTCACTCACCGACTTCGAATAAGATCCTTTTTGAGGTTTACTATTTCCTTGTCTAAATACCTGATGTTCTTCACCACTGTCTTCTCTGTGACCTGATGGGAAGGCAGGAGATGACAGGAAAGGGGACATTAACACAGTTGTTCCAGCTGGAGTCTGATACCAGAGCTCCTGTACCCGAGATAATCAATTTGCAAAGAGAAAAGTTCACCCCAGCTCGTGGTTTGGGAGGCTCTGGGCTGTGGTGCTTGGCCCTGTTTTGCTTTGGAGCTGTATCAGGGTTGGGGTGTGTGGTATGGTGGAATGGATCACTTCATGACTGGGACACGAAAGGGAGAAGGGTATGCACCCAGTGACCCAGAGACCTCCTACTGGGCTTCACCTCTCCACAGTTCCACACTGAGGACCAGGTCATCCATCGTCAAAACTGTAGCGCTGCCTGTCCAGGTTGGGAGAGTTCAGGCATCTGAGTTCATCTTTACATGGTAGGGGCCATTTGGCACAGGGGCATGGTGAGGGCTCTGAGGAAGGTAACCTTGGCCAGTTGTGTGGATTGAAACAAATCATTCCGACTCTCCGGGCTGGTCAGTGTTTTCAGGAGAATGGGGGAGTGGTCTCTAGCCCCAGATTCCTGACATTTGACAGTAAATGGGAGGAACCAGAGAGCTCAGCAATGAAAGGAGCCAACCCTGATAGACTGAGTTGGAGCCCCAGAATCCCCATACAGGGAGCAGAGAACAGACCCCTAACTATGCTCAGACCTCCATGTGTGTGCAGTGGTGTGTGTATGTCCCCCTAACCACAGATAAATAAATAAAAATATAACTTAAAATTGAGAAAAAAGAAAGAACAGGGACTTTAAAAAATTATTACTATTTGTATCAATGGCAGTTGATTTTTAACTGAATTCCTTCCCTGCTAGTGGTTTTGACTCCTTTATGCTCTCAGCAGGATCTTAGTGGTGGGGTATCCAGGGAATACAAATAGTGACTTTCTCTTTCACCTTTTTATTAGTCTTAACCAGACACTGGATAAATCATACAATCCACAACTTCATTAGACAGAAGTTGATACCAGGTCAACTTTTAAAAAGATGATTTAATTAATTATAGTTTATATAAAAGCTGCCTTTCTAAGGACCCTATTTGGAGAAATACTCATCAGAATATTACCCTGCTTTGAAGTTAATTCCCCCTTAAGATCTTTTGTAAGTAAAACGAAATGCTAAGAAATGACGAGAAAATGGGTCCCCTCGGATAAAGCTGGTGGAAAACCCATGGTGAAAGCCTTGCAGAAGAACTGTTCACCAAGGCCTTCCAGGTGCTCTAGCAGGAAGAATGCCCTTAGATCTAACATCTGCAGGTAAGCATCCTGCAAGAGAATATTCCTGACAGACGAGGAAGTGCCTGGGCAAGATCATCCAGTTGCTTCTGAAGGCAAACAGCCTGCACATCTCACGAGAGAAGACAGACTCAACAATTCTGGCCCATCTAGATGGTGGAGTACTATACAGCAATTAAAAGTGGTAAGAGTAACTTCATTGATTTGTGCTTTGCATTCTTGGAGTAAGAGAACAAGTTAGGAATCACCATTTACGAGAGTTCTATTTTTACTTTAAAAAATGGAAATATGCTTTTCAAAGACATGGAATGACATGGCTCCCAGACACAGTGTTTCCTCATGGGGGTGGGGCTGTGGTAGGCTTTGTTTTTTTTTCTTACCTGATGTAGATATCATATGACTTGGCAGTAGATATGAGCTAGTTATATTATCAAGGAGGAGAAGAGCTTCAAAAAGTGGCAAAATAGGGGCCAGCGAGATGACTTAAGAGCTCTAGCTGCTCTTGCAACCATACGGCATCTCACAACCACCTGTAACTCTAGTACCAGGGGACACATGCCCTCTTCTGGTTTCCATGGGCACATACATGCACATAGGACATGTTAACCCATGAAAGTATACACAGACACACAGGAAAAAAGACAAAGTTTCACAAAGCCCTATGGGTAGTACTGTACTGGAAGGATTTTTCAAAGACACAGAGATAGATAGATAGATAGATAGATAGATAGATAGATAGACAGAGAAGGGGAGCAGAGATAGACACCCAGACACAGAACATTGTTGATGGGTGGGAAGAGGTGAGGTGTGTTTTCTGTGGTCACATCTCAGAACGGGGTTGTGATGCCCATTGCTCTGGAATCAGAGCAGAGAGGAGAGGGGAGGAAAGAGGGAGAAGGGAGGAGAGGAGAGGAGAGGGGAGGAAAGAGAGGGGAGGAGAGGAGAGGTGAGGAGAGGGTAGGGGACAGAGGGGAGGAGAAGAGAGAAGAGGAAAGGAGAGAGGGGAGGAGAGGAGAGAGGGGACAGAGGGGAGGAGAGGAGAGCAGAGGAGAGGAGAGAGGGGACAGAGGGGAGGAGAGGAGAGCAGAGGAGAGGGGACAGAGGAGAGAGGGGACAGAAGGGAGGAGAGGAGAGCAGAGGAAAGGAGAGAGGGGAGGAGAGGAGAGAGGGGAGAGAGGGGAGGAGAGGAGGAAAGGGGGAAGGGGCAGAGAGGAGAGGGAAGAATACTTGTGCCAGGGGAAGTAACCCTGGCAAGTGGATGGGCAATGGATGGTGGGAGTATGGAGAGAGGGCAGAGGGTAGTTCTGGACCACATGACACTTGGTCATTTCCTCCTTCATTAGCCCATGTGTGTTGCCACGCAAGGTGGCTCAGAAGAAGGAGGAAGAATGTGTGCTAGTTCCCCAAGTGTTTATGGTGGGGCTGCTTCTTGTCCGCTGAAGAGCAGGTGGGTGGTCCATGGCTCCAGATGCATCAGTTAAACTCTGGACTTCATGGAGGTGTTGAGCTGCACCCAGGCAGCCATTCTGCTTTTCAATTTGGCTAAAACCTTCAGTCCTGAGATGCATCAGGCGTCATTTCTCCAGCAGTTGGGGTGCATGGGAGATGAGGCTCTACTGCAGGCTGTGAGAACATTCTGAACATGTGTCCTATGACAACTTCACACATGTTTATTTATAGTGCACTCTGGAGACCACCCATGCCCTTCGCTCCTCCCACCTCCACCAGCTGTCATTTCTACCAAGTCCCTTTCCTAGATTCATGACATTTGCTTTCATTTTGTGATCCATTTTATTTAACTGGGACATCTGTGTGACTATTGGAATGGGGTTACCTATTGGAGCCTGATGGTGTCACCATGGGTACTTGACTGAAGGCAATGGGATCTATTAACAGAAGCAGTTCAGCCATGAGGGAGAGGGCCCCTGCACTCCTCTGCCCTTGTCTTGCTGCAGCTCAACCCATTTCCATGCAGATTAATGGCTGTCATTCCCAGTTGTTGAGAATTTGTGACTGCGATGTGCCCAGAAGGTGGAATTTCCCAACCCTTCTCCCTATCTACTAGATGGGCATTTGAGGTGTAACTGCACTGTTGATTAAAGAGCATCTGTATCAGATATAAAAGGTGTGTGGAGCGTCTTGAACAAGCTCAACCAGGTATGAAATAATGGAGTCACCAAGTTTAGCTCTAGCCATGATCAGCAATCAATCAGATCCTGGGTGATGTAATTTACTCATTTCAGTACTCCAGAGTGCTTCAAACTTTGGCTGAGTATTAGTGGTAAACCCATCACCCCTGACCCTAGGGGACAGACAGTGAGCTGGCCCCAGCCAGTGTGTGAAGACGAGAACATTCTCAAACTGTTATCTAATAGTTATTTGTTCTTTTCTCACATGTCCAGTGTTTCCTTGCCATCTTTTTTTTTTTTTTTAAAAATATTTACTTTATGTGTATGGATCTTTGGCCTGCTTGTGTTTGTGTGTACCACACCTGTGAAGTGTCCTCAGAGGCCAGAAGAGGGCACCAGATTCCCTGGAACTGGTATGTGAGTGCTGAGCCATCCCTCCGGCCCCCTCACCCTTTTGATATCAATTCACCGCTTAGCAATTTCCCCCACTGCAGCATTGTGTATCTTAGGGCTCCCAACTGTACTAGCAGCAGGGATGATCCTGAACGGCTGGTGACAAATAGTGACAATGTGCCCTTAAAGTCAGTGGCTGACCTCAGGTGGTCATGCGAGCCAGTCTGAGCAAGTGAGATGCAAGTGGATATTCCTACAGGTGTCTGGAGGGTGTGACTCATATTTCTTAACCAATCGCTGGCAGAGATGGTTCCTTTCCACATTGTCTATAAAGGAAAATGCAAAACAACCTTTCTGAGCTGTTGGCAGCCATTCTGGGGCCATGAGGAGACTTTGCCTCAGGCTAAGGAGAATTTGGTGGGAGGTGAAGATCAGAGTTGGGTCTTGGGTGTCACACTTACCAGAACCACGGCTCCCATGACTGTCCCCTCTATTCCGTCACCAAGCATGGATGGGTTTTCCTGTCCCCACAACCATACATTCTCCACCTGAAGTCTGTTCCATCCTTGGGATGGCCCTTGCAGGCAGAAGACCGAGAATGACTTTAGCTAGTGCTTCCCCATTGTCCCCTCTCAGGAGAGACCAAGATCAGGCAGACTGGCTGCAGAAAGAGCAAATGTTCTGAGCCAGAGTTGTCTGAATCCTCTCCTTTTGAGCTCCCCACTGTCTCTCCCTTGAAGGACCATGTAACTGTCTTGAGATATATGATCAATATATCATGGCATATGCATGAACGAGGGAGAAACAAGCTCCCCTTGTCCTGGCAGAATGGTCAGACATGTTCATCTCTGTTGCTGGAACGGTGGTGTACCTATGAGCCTCTCAGATGCCTTATGTTATACCCTCCTTGTGACGCCGAGGCTGTGTGTGTGTGTGTGTGTGTGTGTGTGTGTGTTGTGTCTTTTGTGTGGGGGTGATACGTGTATGTGTGTGTGTGGGTGGTGTGTCTGTGTAATGTGTGTGTGGGTGATATGTGTATGTGCGGAGGGGGGTGATGTGTGTGCGCATGGAAGCGATGTGTTTGTGTGTGTTGTGTATTTTGTGTTAGGGTGATGCATGTATGTGTGTGTGGGGTGATGTGTCTGTATAATGTGTGTGTGGGCGACATGTGTATGTGCAGGGTGTGGTGATGTGTGTGTGCATGGGGGCGATGTGTGTGTGTGTGTGTGTGT